GTTTGGTTTCACTTGCCTGAAAGGGAGGGCGCGTGGACCTCTCCGAGTTTAGCTGGTGTTAACCTGCCGCCCTGTGGGACCTGAGAGTGGTGACTGGTTATCCTGCCTCTGTCTGGTGGGGAGAGATGGTCACTTTCCCTCCCTGACAATGAACAGCCATATGTGTGAGTTTCTTCTCCAGTGTCTGTCTACCATTAGTGTCCAAGTTGCTCCTTCCTTCCCAGTCCCCACTCCCTCCCCTACCTTGGCTGCTCCTGTGGCCGGGGAAGCCCCAGGGTGCTGGGTTGCTCGGTGATTCTTTGGCTTCCCGTTGTTTAAAGGGACAGTTTGTGGCCACCTCTGAAAAGGGGGTTGAGGAGGCCTGTGTTTGACTCCTGTTTTGCACGATGTTAAAAAACCTGTTGTTTTGCACGATGCAGCCGAAGTACTGGCCGTATCTCTCTCCCTGGGTCCTCTTCTCTCTTGGTGGTGGACAGGCCTGGGGGGTCCTGGAAGGACAAGCTGTTCTCCAGTACCCCCTTGTCCTGTCCTCTGTTGCAGCAGTGACCCACAGACTAGACATGAGTGCTGTTCCTATAGTAATGTGGTGAGAACCGCTGCGAGGAGCTGCCGTGATCATTACTGTGTTGATTGCAAGATGAGTCCTGGCTGCAGGCTGGCCTGCGACTCCACAGGGCAAGGTTGGGACTTCATCCCCCTTCTGATTTGAATTCGTGAGTAGGTAGTAATGCCAACACTGGCCTCAGGAATGTGTTGAACCATGCACAGGTCTGCACTAGGGTCCTGGCCTGGAATCCCCCCCCCCCTTTGAGGTGTAGGTCTGGAGAAACTAAGGAGTTAGCACCTGACATCAGCCCCCTTCCCACCCCCCCAGAACTCTGCCCTCAGTACACTGGTGCTTCTGGGGCTTGAGGAGGGCTCTGTGCTCCACGTTGTCATTGCTCTTCAGATCAAGTACTTGTTCTCAACTGTGTTTGTAAGAGAAGGGTGGGTGTGTTCTAAGCCTTGTTTCTTGTCAGGCATGGAAAGGGAAGAATGCCCACGCTGGTCATATTTATTTGCTCTAACTTATTTGCCGTAGGATGGGCCCAGGTGTCCCTGCTGGTGACCTTAGCAGGCCACCAGCCCACCTCCCTGCTCGCACCCAAACACCAGGGGGCGCTGATCTGGCTAAGGGTAGCCATGTTTTGTCCTAATTTCTCTCTCGCTTGTCCAGTCAGCTAGCTGTCTTAGCTTTCAAAACTCTTGTTGCTTATTAAAGTAGAAATAGTTTCCGAAGCTCGAGTTTATTGTGAAGATCCCAAGGGAGAATTCTGTAGAGAAAAATAGCTGTTTTAGAAACAATGTGGGGCCCAAGGCTGTTGTGGGTGACTGGGCACAGTCACCCAGGACAAGCTGGGGGAAGAATTTGCCAAAGCTCTGCCCCGTGACAGCCTGTCCAGTGTCTTCACCATGAGAATAACCAAAGTTCCAAAGTGTTTCTTTTCTTTTTTTAAAGCTCTGTGGGGTTTTAAAAGTGCATTTACGAATCCACGGGGTTTAGAGCAGAGCGGCCAGCCCTGGTGCTCGGTGGCTGGCAGTTGGACGTCTCCTCTCCACTTCTGTTCCTTGCTTTTGCTTTTTTTGGTTTAACAGGTCTACCCCTGTGGGCATGTCTGGCAGACACCTGGGCTTGGGGGTAGACTGAGCTGGGCAGCTGTCATCAGCTTCTTTATGCATAAAGTAGGCATGACCCATCTAGGGGCTCCTGGTGGGTGGTGAGTGAAGCGGGGAGAGGGAAAGGTGTCCCCCACAGTAGGCCTCTCCCACGGGCTCTGACCAGGCCAGTCACTGACCATCGTTTACATGGTTCTGTGTAATTAAAGTTTATGTGTATATAGCAAGCTGTTTCTGTGAAACTGTATATTTTGTAAATAAAGATATTACTACTTTGCTCCTGTGTCCGGCCGCAGGTGTGTGTGCGCCCCCCTGACCCTGCGGCCCCCCACCTGCCCTGGCCGCCGCGGGCCTGGCGCTCTTAACCCCTACCTGCCCTGGCCGCCGCGGGCCTGGCGCTCTTAACCCCTACCTGCCCTGGCCGC